CCTTGCCTGCAGCATCCCCCTCAACCCCCCCTGCGTGCGCTCTGAGTATCTCAGTCGTAAAAAAAGAGTAGTTAACAAGCCTGCACACTCGTGCGACCTTTACAGCGGCATGAAATTTGACCAAAGTGCATAACAAGTCAAAAACCAAATAAATACAATAAAAACAGCCAATTGCCATAATGTTGAGAATAGAAGAAGAAAATATCATTTCTATAACGCCTCTCAAGATAAAAAATCACGAGGCGCTTCACAAAAACAAAAAATGTAAAAATATAAAAAAAGCATTTAGAAAATGTTTAAAAATATATTTAAAATCTACAAAAAATAGACAATTGTGATTAAAAAATGTTAAGAGCGAGAGTGAACAGGAAAGAGGGAAATCAGTGGATCCTGAGGAAGGTGGAATAGGTGGGAGAGCAGAATAAAGAGAGAGGTGAAGAAGGTCATACAAAAGCCAGCTTGAACAAGTGAGTCTTCAGCTGCTTTTTAAAGGAGACCACTGAGTCCACTGATCTCAGGCTCAGGGGGAGAGAGTTCCAGAGTCTGGGGGCCACAGCAGCAGATGATCTGTCACCTTTGACCTTTAGCCTGGTGCTGCACAACCAGCAGTTTGAATAAAACTCATAATAAAAAAACACATAAAACCAGTTAAAAAAAACTAACTGATCTAAAAGCCACTGAGAAAAGATGTGGAGCAATCCTAATCTGATTTCCACGACTTTGCAGTTTCCGCTTTGTTCTCTGCACCTTCAGGAGAAGCTGGTCAGCTGACCTCAGCGACAGAGATGAGGAGTATGTAACTAAAAGCTCAGAGAGACACTGCAGGGCAAGGCCATGTAGAGCTGAAAAAGCCAATAAAAGCACCTGATACTGAACCCAAAAATCAACAGCAGCCAGCCAGCAATGTGGTCGCTCTTCCCCGAACCCATCAGTAAGCGTTCTGCTGCATTTTGCACCATTTGAAGACAGGAGAGGTGAGACTGAGGGAGACCAAGGTACAGTGAAAAGAAAGAAAGCAATATTTTATAAAACACCTCTCAAAATAACAATCAGGAGGCGCTTCACAAAAACAAAACCATTTAAATATGAAAACATTTCCAAAAAATGATTCAAAATATGTTTAAAATGAGAAGAAAGGAAAATTGTGATTGAAAATGTAAGAAAAGTGAAAGAGAAAGTGAATTGGAAAGAGGGAAACTAGTGGAGCCCGGGGAAGGTGGAATGAGAACAAAATAAGGGGAGGGAGGTGATGAAGGTCCCACCAAAGCCTGAACAGGTGACTTTAAAGGAGACCACTGAGTCCACTGATCTCAGGCTCAGGGGGAGAGAGTTCCAGAGTCTGGGGGCCACAGCAGCAGATGATCTGTCACCTTTGACCTTCAGCCTGGTGCTCCACAACCAGTAGGCTTTGGTCACTGGACCTCAGGGACCTGCTGGGGGTGTAGGGACTAAGAAGATCACCAATGTAAGATGGTGCTTGTCCATGTAAAGGTTGGTTTATGCTTGACATGTCCACGAGGTTCGCACGGCTCTGCGCGGAAAAGTTGCGTCATTTTAACAACCACGCCCCTCCACCGCGCCTCCGCACGGCCCAAACTTTCGGCACCGTGCACCTAGGAAATTTTCTAACCACGCGGACGGTCGAACGCGGAAAAACATGGCGGACAGGCAAGAACTAGTATGGCAGAGGTTCGTAAATACAGACATTTGTATGATTCAGCTCTCAGAGATCACCGTGATCAACATGTTGTTAATAATTCTTGGAGAGAAATAGCTCGCACTGTCGGAAAAGACGAGGACGCTGTTAAAAATGCTGGAATGCCATGTTGTAAACAGTCATTTCTACTTCTGCTAGGGTGTAGTGTTGGATGCATGCCGTAGAGCTCCATGCTGCCCCCTACAGTTTGGGAGAATATTGGCTCACCGCAGAGACAAGCCGCACGAACCATAAACGCTGCAAGTTGTGGAGCGTGTTCCAGCAGCGAGCCGCTTCACCAAGCGGAAAGTAAACGCGTCAAGCATAAACCAAGCTTCAGGCCCTATAGACCAGAACCAGGATCTTGAAATGAACCCTGAAGTTGACTGGCAGCCAGTGAAGCTGGAGGAGAAGCGGGGTGATGTGGGTGTGTTTGGAGGACTTGGTCAGAAGCCGAGCACAGGCGTTCTGAACCACCTGTAGACGGTGGTTACAATAATTATCACTGTCTCAAAATCATGTTTGACAGCAAATGCTTGACCTCAGCAACCCTCCTTAGATGATACGAGCTGCCTTTTGTTACAGCACTGATTTGCTTGTCCAGAAGGTCTCTTTCGAGCAGAACCCTCAGACTGATTGCTACAGTTTTCAGGAATGGGGCCAGTACCTTCAGGGGTACAATGTCTCGTCACTGGGGTGGTGCCCTCAAAGGTACACTTTTGTACCGTCAACTGTGGGTACAAACTAGTACCCTTGTAGTTTGTCCCTTTTTGCTTGCCGAACCTGTACCTTAGAAAGCAAAATTTTACCCTTAATATAAAGTACAATAAAGGAGCCTTACAAAGGGATCACAGGCACAACAGCTGTGATGTCATCCTGGGACCTTCTGGTTGCAGAAAACAGCACTAGCCACTACACCACTGTGAAACTTTATGAATATTCCTATGTGTGTGTGTGTGTGTGTGTGTGTGTGTGTGTGTGTGTGTGTGTGTGTGTGTGTGTGTGTGTGTGTGTGTGTGTGTGTGTGTGTGTGTGTGTGTGTGTGTGTGTGTGCATGTGTGTGCATGTGTGTGCATGTGTGGTGAGTGTGTGTGTGTGTGTGTGTGTGCGTGTGTGTGTGTGTGCCTGTGTGTGTGTGTGTTTATGTGTGTGTGTGTGTGTGTGTGTGTGTGTGTGTGTGTGTGTTTATGTGTGCACGCGTGTGTGTTTATGTGTGTGTGTGTGGATGTGTTTATGTGTGTGTTTATGTGTTTATGTGTGTGTGTGTTTATGTATGTGTGTGTTTATGTGTGAGCATGTGTATGTGTGTGTATGTGTGTGCGTGTGTATGTGTGTGTATGTGTGTGCGTGTGTATGTGTGTGTATGTGTGTGCGTGTGTGTGTGTGTGGATGTGTTTATGTGTGTGTTTGTGTGTGTGTTTATGTGTGTGCGTGTGTATGTGTGTGTATGTGTGTGCGTGTGTATGTGTGTGTGTTTTATTACAGGATCACAACAAAATCAGACCCCAGATACAAATTCAAAAATACTCGCTACATTTATTTACTTATCAAATACAATGCCGACCTGTTACAAACTCATCAGCAGTACGTGTCAGACGCTATCAAATACTATTAGAATAACATTTGCTATCTCTAAATGTTTGGTTTATTGGGCCACACTCTCTGCAATCTGAGATGCGCCGAGCTGCGGGGAGGGGATAAGGGTGGAAAACATCGGTCTCCCGAGAGCTCTACAAGCCGATAGTGGGAACCCAGCTCCACCAACATGTTATATTTCAACCCATTTTCTAAAGTGCAGCATTATGTTAAATGCACTGGGTTTTAC